GTGAACCAAAAACAACTGATAGCAGCTCTCAGTGATATGTGTCGGGTTCCCGCTATGATAGCAGCAACATTCACAATTATTGATGATATTGCTCCTGTGAAAGTCAGCAAGAAGAGAAAATCAACAGTAGTACAGAGTATGAAAAGACAATGCAGAAAAGCTAAGCGGATGTGGCGGAAGACGAAACTTGAAATTCACTATAGCATATTGCAGATATGCTCACTGACTATAAACCTAACAGACCACTCAGATCATTAGGATCGAGTCAATTAGAAGAAATACCAAGGGTTCACACAAAACAAGGGGAATTCGCTTTTAGCTATTTTGCCGCCCGCAGTTGGAATCAGCTTCCAGAAGAGATCAGATGTGCTAAAACATGTCAAATTTAAATCTAGACTCAAAACTAATCTGTTTAGCTGTGCATGTATTGAATGAGCACTGTGCGATGTCCGAACTGATTGCACTGCATTTTATGTATTTCACTGTATTTTATGCAACCCGAAATGATTGCACTGTATTTTATGTATAATCATTTTCTATTTTTAACTGTCTTAAATTCATTTTAAATCAATTTTTAAATAATTTTCAAAGTTTTTAAATTCCTTGTTTCATTTTTATGATTATTTTTTATGATTATTTTACTTTCTTTTATGTAAAGCACTTTGAATTACCATTGTGTACGAAATGTGCTATAAAAATAAACTGCCTTGCCTTGCCTTGCCTAGAAGAACAGGATCATAATGGATATGAGCCAGATCCTGCTGTGACAGGAGACGCACAGAGAAACATTTCATGAGTGTCTTATTATATAATCATCAGTCAGACTCTCATCTGATCATCTTCTTTTGAAAGAGACAACACTTAAAAAATGGCTTTCAGCTCTGGAAATATCTTAGGAATCTTTCTCTTAGCTCTTTCTTCTGGAAGATATAAGTATCTGTCAAACACCACTAGCACCACCAATAGTTCAAAACTTTTCAACTTTTTAAAAATTGGATCAGGTGATCTTCAAAGCTGATAAAATGTATTTTTATTTGCCTGCATGTTAAATTTGACCATGAAGACCCCAAACATGTAGGTAACATGCTGTATATTAGCAATCAGTCCTACAAGGATTTCAGACAAAAATGCAAGGTGCCACAAAATGGAGTGTTTGCTTGATTTTGCAATACATTCTGAAATCACAAAATCGTGAAATCCTGGAGTGACAGAGCAATGCCTTAGCAATATGAAACCAAACCAAACCTGATTGTGTCTTAAAGGGTTAAACAAAACAGCACTCATTAAGTATATACAGTTATGTAAATGGATGTGAAGAAGGTTTAATCGATTTTGTGTCCATTTTGTGTGAATGCATGTGAAGATCTGTTCTTCCTTTGTGGCTTTGGCCACATGGCAAAACTTGTTTCTGCTGTGAGGGGGATTTACGATCAGTCACACTTTGATGAGTAAAGGCTGATTTATACTCGACGCGTCCGCAAGTTCGCTTGGGTGCGTGCAGAAATATGACGTCCTTGCGGTGTTGGCGGAAGTCTGCTTTGAGTGTGCGTGACCTCATTTTGCGTGCCGGTGTGCACGGCATTTTTTTTAACTTTCTGCCCAGCTCTGCTTCTGAAGATGCATGCCTTCAGGGCGACTCTAGCCGAACAGGCACATCTGTGCCGGCATTTGTGTGAAACAGAAGCAGTTTGATGTGAAGTTCAAACACCACCAGGTGCAACCTCTGACACTTTAAGGGAAAATAATGTATAGTTTTTTTGTATAGTTTGTCCAATTAATTTAGATACTGTTTCTACACTATTTGCTTAAAGTTGTCTTGTGTTTGATGCAAAATAAACCCAAAAGCTTAAGATTATTTTAATCAGTTTGTACATAAAGAAATTATTAATTCATCAACTCATTCATCACGCGAGAAGTCTTGTACTGGCAAATG